TAAATATTTAATTATTTGCTCTTACTGGTACATGAGTCAACTTACCCCGGGCATATGGTCTACCTACCCCGAGCCAGGGGTAGATTGACTAAGATTTAATATTTTGTAAAATGCATTAAATCATCACTATTATACTAAACTAAGAACTAAATATTACATATTTTTATTAGGTTAATAGATTTTCTACATTAAAACACAAAAAATATGAACTATTCAGTAAAAAACTAGTCAACCATCCTCGGTCTCCCCTACAACAAATTTTTATAGATTTTTGTGTCAGTTTCAACAAAATTTGTTTTGATACCATTTACGATATTCAATTGTTTTTAGTTTATTACAATGTAAAATTATGCGTATCAACGTTATTTTTCCATACAAAATACAGTCATTTTGAAATATTCACGAACAAAGCGAATAAGTATATAATCTACTTGTAAATAACGTTTCCTGTTATCAGTTACGGAGGAAGTTGTTAAAAATAAATTCTGAATAATTCTAGCCAATCGACGGACGTATAAGTACCTACTTGTGAATAGATTTTAACCAGAAACTTTAAGTTTGTGATGCAGTAAATTGGGAATAGAGATCAATGAACTAGAAATAGGTATTTAGGTGGATATTTAAAAAAGTTAGAACTATCGACGAAGCAGGTAACTAAATATAAGTTTTTCACGAGTCTATTATCGTTTTTCCCAATGATGAAATGACCCACATATATGTATGTGTATATGCGTATAGATAATCTACAGTGTATCGTTTTAATAATAATAATTATTGTTGTTATGTTCAGTGGTGTTGTCGAGCCGGAACGCTCCGGCACGTCGTTCCGGTACTTCCTTTTTGGACAGGAACGCGTTCCGGAACTAAAGATGATTTCTGATAACGAGAATTGGCTGACGTATTGAAAAAAAATTAAAAAGAATTGCTGATTTTTTTTTCTAATTTTTGACGAATTTTTATATGTATTATTATAAACAAGGGTTTGAACCGAACCCGAACCGGAACAAAAACCGAAACGAACCGGCTTGTTTTTTCTGCTGAACCGGAACTCTAACCGAACCGAAACAAATACGTGAACCGGTTTTTGAACCGGTTCAACGGGAATTAAACTTTATTTATAATAAACATTAGAAGAAAAAAATATAAAATTTTAAAAAAGTAAAGATTTCATACATAAATTTTAATACAAGCGGCCCACGAACCGTACGTTACTCATCCCTGACATAGTTTATTGCCATACCCAAATGGACCTGCGGCTAATTTTCGTTTCCTTTCCTTTTTATGCTATATACAGGCCGATCCTGGCAACGGGCGAAAATTGGGGCAAATCCCCCCCCCCGTCGTCGTCAAATTTGGGACATGAGACCCTACCCAAGATCGGCCCTGTCTATATAATTATATATACGCGTTCCGGTAAAAAAAAAATTAACACAACACCACTGGTTATGTTTTTAAATGTGACATTTGTTGTTCACCAAAAGTGGTTTTTTAACTGCTTAATTAAAAACCTCATTAAAAATTGGATAGGATTGCGGTCTGGACCCTATTCAAATACGATCGGGATAAAATAATTTTGATCGCACTCGTATCAGAAATGTAACATCATAGAAACATTTGGACCCCGTTTGACACCCAGACATAGTTAGTCCGGGGTTGATTAGAAATTTGGCCCTTATCAAATTATCTTATTTGGGTCAAATCAGAAATGTAAAACTTTGAACAATTTGGGTTTAACCAGGCAGCCAGACTTAGTCCGGATAAGGCCATCCTGGGTGGCTGTAAGTTATCTAATATTTCATTACTTATAGGGCAAAATGTAAAAGGGTTCAGGTAGGCTATCGATATCTAGGCCAGATAAGGCTAACGAGGACATACCGTTAAAGTATTAAAGAAGGGTATCAACATCAGGCTGCATCAGTCTTAATAGGGCATGCAGTAAAAATTTTAAACCGTTATAAAAGGTTAAAATCTACATCAGGGTCATATCAGTCTTAATTTTGCTGCTCAGTCTATAGCTAGGACCACATTTAATAAGATGCCTTAATAGAAAATGCCCCGGATGGCGATAGGGTCTGCCCTTACAAATTTCCATTCGGAAAGTTGTGGTTATCTGTTAGTAGACCGTATTTCAAAATTATCAGCTGTTATAATCTGATTGATTCTTCCCAAACTGTTTTAAGACGGGTAGCGATTACTTTTCCTCCAAAGGGTTCCATGCGGCATTCCTATAGAGATGTGCGAAAGAGATAAGGGTTATAAGCTGTTTATGCACTATGGGGTCCACACGAAGCAATCTGGCTAACATCGTTGAGACCCTAGTTGCTCCTTACGAAAATTGTAATTAGGATTTCAAGTTTGATTATTTATTCATCTTCTTAGAACAAGAGAAAGAAATGGAAACTTAATTCATGGTGTTATATTTTTGTTTCATTAAATAGAAGTACTTACTCTTGTTGTACAAAGGGGGAACTGATGAAGTTCGATAGATAAAATAATTCTCGTTTAATTACATTATTATGTAACACTGAAATAATTACGTAATGACCTGTAAAACAAGAGCAATCGTTTGAAAAATTTATATTCAAGGTATTTTTGAAAATGTGAAAGTAAGTTTTGCAGAAACTGGTAATGGAGAAATACGTACATATATAAATAAATCAAAACGCAATATCCTGATTTAATTCTGTATTAATTTGTTGAGCACACTTATCTATCCATATGATATTTACATTTCCACCTAGTTCTGTGGTTGTTTTTGCTTTGCATTGGTATTCCAGAAATAGCCACACTAATTAATGAACTCTATTAATGTATTCATTCATTAATATCTTCCAGTAGACCGTAATTCCAAGAAGAACAGCGGTGTAGAGCAGTATTTTTATAGCAATATGCACCATTTACTGCCTGTGGTGTGCTGATGAGGACTAATAAATCTACTACTATAGTACAATACTACATTTAGAAAAGTTTCTTGATAGGTTTCAGTGCTTTAAAAAGTAATAATCTATTCGTTATGTTGTTATGACAAAATATATATTGTTTATACGAATTTTTATCGTTCTATTTTACGATCATATGAAGTATGTTCTATTTTAAATCGTGTGCATGTAATATCTATTGTATGATACTTTCAGTTTACAGGCAAAAAAAAATGACTCAATATACTGTATCGTACCTACGTGTATTTTTGTGCAATTGAACAACGTAACTTAATTGCGTAATGTTATAATAGCCAAGATAAATAGGTAAATACACATTTTGCGCGTGTACTTTGTTTAATAAAACTAATTTTGTGGTAAATAAAGTACGTATAATTAATGTAGCGAAATCAGTCATAAAATTAATGTAGACATGTACCTACATCAAAGTAAAGTATTAAAAACGTACATTAGTGTTTTAAAGCGTAAAATATTTCTAATACGTACAAGTATTACTGTTGGTAATTTATATTCTTATTTGCGAAAATTAACTGTTTAAAGTTACAATACAACTGCTATAATTGGGACCATTGAAGTTGGCAAAACTCAAATTCTGTATGTCTGCATCTCTTTCTGTTACACAATAACTGGTGTAATGTTATTTCTTTTTCTTTATTAGTATCCGCTGCAATTCCTACTTGGCATCTCTTTTCTATGTTTACTATATGCGTTATAACGTCTGTCGTGAGTAAAAGTAGTTGTTTTATTGTGGACTATGCCAATTTTGAATGTCCCAACTATAGATATAATTTGTAGTGGATGTTATTTCATAAGGGGATGAAATTATAATCAAATTTGGAATACTTTTACATAATTCTGCATACTATATAGGAATATTCAAAAGCGATAAAATACTTTTATTAGATTTAGGTACAGTTAGAAATTTGCTGAAGAAAATTAACTCCTGATGTAAAAGCTACATAATATAATTCACGTTTTTGGTACATAATTTGCTCTTACACTGATCGCGTTGCTTTGGGATGATAACGTGAACGACCATCGTTTTAAGAGACTTTTGTTATGAGTTCCATTACGAAAAGTTATGTACTTGTAATTGCGACAATATTTGAATAATTGAAATTTGATTATGATCAACATTTTAGAATTTACCATAGTAGGTAGTAATGGTTCCCAGAGTTTAAATTTAATCAGTTTTTACTTCACATCTATATTAAATGTGATATGTTTCGCAGTCTTTCAATCGACTAAGCTTGAAAAATAATTTGACTTGAAAAGTAGTGTCTCTGAATAAATGAATTACGTACTTCTTTCTATCTTGAGACAATCTTTGCATTTCTTTAAAACTAGAATAACTTATATCTCTAATTGTTTGCCAACAGTAATCCAATCTGCTTCTCTTAACTCCTGTTTCTGCTTCTAATATATCTTTAACTAGCCCTTCATGACATGTTTAAGATAGTGGCGTATTTTTTATAGTCTTCTGTTCTCCTACTTTTTCTAATAACTCCTTAATTCTAACGTGATCCAAATTTATGTTGAAAGATACATAAGTACGTTATCTACAAGGTCGTATTAAATACGCACGTACGTCATAAAACTAGATAAGTAAAATCCATGTTTTGAAAATATTCTTTTGGTTTTTCAATAAAAGGTTGCTAGTTTTTAATATAGAGCTAGGTTGGTAATTAAAAGAAGTGTCTATTGACAATGTTTATTTACACAATAGGAAGTACAATTTGTTTCACAAGATTAAATTGTCTCCCTGACACGTTTGACACTGTTGAAATTGTGTCTAAATCGGTCCACATCTGAAGCAATCATTCCATTTTTACCGTGCTCATCATCAATTTTAATGCAAGAGAATTTTACATTTTTAAATATGTTTTCGTCTGTAAATTTATTTAGTTGGTGACTTATTAATAAATAATCAAAACAAACAATAATTGTTAAGTATTTACTGTTTGATCACTGTTATATTCTACGATACTTGCATAATTAATTTGCTTGTTTTTTTAGGCTAATACATTTTTAATTAAATTAATAAAAATTATTTTGTTGCAGAATCAAAGTGGATTTGAAGACTTACGAAAATATGTTAAACAAGGCAGCGATTTCTGCAAAGAGCTTTCTACAATTCTTCAAGAAAGGTGAGTTAATAATGTACTTTTATTAAAAATATTCATTGCTAACACGAGTGCCTTAATCAAGGATTTTACTTTTACAATGGGTCTTGTGTTGTGGACAGAATTACTATGATAAACCCTTTTTTTGGATATATTTGAGATTTTTGCTCATACTTGACAAGTGTATTTTTCATTTGACACCACACAAGAAACAAGTGGTCCATTCTCACCAATAATTTATTGTGGACTTTTTGCCAATTTTGATCGACCCAACTATATCCCGTTTCTCTTTAATTGTTGGCAATATAGAATAGTTGATACTATTTTCTATTTTATTTTTACGTCTCTAAAATCTTAATTCTTCTCTAAGCCTCTCATGCAAATGGATGAATGATAACACTTTCGGTCATTCTACTACAATTTATTAATTAATTAAAGATTCTGAATTCGTCGCTGTGAGACAGAACGTAGGACATTGGGCTGCATTTGTTTCTACACTATGAAAGGCATGGTGTCTTCTGATGAAGAACTAAAAGTCTACGAAGACAAACTATGATCTACAAAATTATGTCATAGCGCATGGGGGACACCATTTAAAAATCATGTGCCTTGCATGATGCGGAAATGAAAACAGTGCAATGCTCGAATTTTCACAGCTCTATATCTACATCAGATTTGTCTTATTTTACAAGTTTTATTATAACCAAAATTAATGTGAAAACGATAATTTACGAGGTATTTGAAAGCAAAGTGATTTCTTTGACTTTTCGTAATGGAAAATTTTTGTCACATCAAAATTAAGACCATGCCGCCGGAAAATATTCCAGTTAGCTTTTCTTAGATGATCACGTATAAAGTAGTTGGGCTAATGTTACAGATTATTGAACGATTGCGTGGGGAAGTATACTATTTTCGTTTTTATTATGTACAAATAATTTCAATGTGTGCTATTAACATTAATTGTAGGATCAGTTCACAGGGAGCATATCATTGATGTAAACGCAATTTATCAATAAAATCTTACAGTGCATTAGACACTTAAGCACCTTTTAGTTGTTTGTCGTCTTCACAATTTTGCGATTAGTTATTTTATATAAAACGTCATTGTATATTTTATCGTTTTCTTCCCTTTTAAAATAACAATTAGAGCACGGTTTTTAAATTTATATTTATAAATATTGTTATTTACTACTTTTGTATTATATCTAATACAAAAAGTCTGTATTTTATAGTGTATAGGAACTAATATTTAAACTCTTTCCAGTCTAGTTCGTGTAAATAGAGAGTTTTGTTGAATGTAGAGCAATTTCGTGTCCGATTTATAGTAATTAAAATACCATTCGGTACAATGCCATTGTATAATCAAACCATCTCAACTTTTTATAAGAAATTTGCGGTGCTGCTATTTGCAGATTTATACAATAAATAATTGTGAAGTGCCGAATGATTTCGTAATGCGAATCAGTTGATAGATTCAGCTGAAGGATGATGGCACCTTTGTGCCACTATCTAAAGATCTCATTACACAATTAAATATATAATATCCCAATTGGTTATGTATAGGAATTTGAAACGGATAGGATTTCGAAATCATTTTAAAATTGACAAGAAAAGTTTATGAAAAAGATTAGATCAGGAACGAAGCCAATTGTTTCTAAGGCGTACTTTATAACTTTAAAATTTTAAAAAAGTATCCTTTTCTTGTTGACCACTTCTTCCCCTCTTAAATATAATAGTTGAAAAAATAGAACTAAATTAGGAGCTGTAAAGCTTTAACTTTTTTGGGAAACTCCACCGACGTTTCGCCTCCCCGTACGGAGTTTTTTTAATAGTTATATCGCATCATTTCGATTTAATGGTACAGTTAAGAAAATCTACCTTGAAAAAACTCATATGCGAAGTTGAAACATCGGTTAAGTTTTCCCATAAATATTTAACTTTTACCAGGACCGTCTTAGACCATGCCGGTGCCCTTGGGCACACAAGAATTTGGGCCCTTTTAGATAGTAAAGTAAACTGAATGATACAAAAAATATACTTTATCGGTGTTCGCCGAATTAATTGCGAATATTTTAGGGGGTGTTATCACCAAGCAAGACTTCTTGAAGCAAAAACTTTCACTACTGAAACAATTCTTCTAAGTACATTTTTCCAATAATTGACTTTGACTGCGTTATACTGAGACAACTCACTGTAAACTCGTCCAGTAGATTTGGTTCTTACGACATAATTCATCAATAATTGCCTGTGCTATAAACTGTTCTCATGCTCCATTAATAAGTTACTATAGGGTTGTTCGGAAAGTCATTTCGTTTTTTTTGTGGAAATGAAAGACAGTTTTCGTATAATAAACAAATACTTTATTAAATTATATATTGACCGTTCTGGTCCAACACCTTTTGTCATCTTTCTGGTAGTAGCATAATTCCACGCTCATAAAATTTTTGGTCTTTGCTGGCAAAAAACTGATCGAGGAGGTTTTTGACCTCCTCATTTGAGGTGAAGGTTTTACCGTCTAAAAAATTTTGGAGTGACCGGAACAAATAATAATCCGATGGTGCCAGGTCTGGAGAATATGGTGGGTGTAGCATTGTATCCCATTCAAGCTGTAAAAGCTTTTGGCGAGTGACCAAACTTGTGTGAGGTCTCGCGTTGTCTTGGTGAAACACTACACCTTTCCTGTTGATTAGTTCTGACCTTTTCTGTTGAAGTGCATCATTCAGTTTGTCCAGCTGATGACAGTAGACTTCCGAATTAATCGTTGTGTTATCCGGTAAAAGCTCAAAAAAAACGATTCCTTTAAAATCCCACCAAACAGACAGCATCACCTTTTTTTGGTGAATATCGGCTTTGGAAATGGTTTGAGCCGGTTCATCTTTTTTGCTCCATGACCTCTTGCGTTTGACGTTGTTGTATACAACCCATTTTTCGTCCCCAGTGATGATGCGCTTCAAAAACGGATCATTTTCGTGACGTTTGAGAAGCGAATCGCAGACGTCAATGCGGCGACACAGATTTCTCTCTGTGAGAACATGGGGAACCCATACATCGAGCTTCGAGGATAATCCCAGGCCTTTCAAGTGGTCATAAACTGTTGAATTTGATAAATTTAACCTCAATCCGATCTCACGTGTTGTTATTCGCCGGTTCACATCAACTAATGCCTTTATCGCGTCTTTATCAGCTTCAACCGGCCTTCCCGAACGTGGTGCATCTTCGACATCAAAATTGCCGGATCGAAATTTAGCGAACCAGTTCTGGCACTGGCGTACTGTCAACACACCTTCTCCATACACATCAGTCAATTTCTTTCTGGCTTGAACAGCATTTTTACCCTTTCTGTAGTAAAACAGTAAGATATGTCGAAAATGCTGCTTATCGCTCTCCATATTTAAAAGGGCACCAACCAGAAACTACTGCGTAGAATTAATTGGAATTTTTCACACACAAGCCTTGCTATATGAGCTCTCAAAGCATATAAAAATTATACGGATTAAATGTGAAGTTGGGTGCAAAAGAATACAATTAAATCCTCTGTCGGGAAAAAACGAAATGGCTTTCCGAACAACCCTATAATATGCTTCCAGTCTTTATATCCCTTTGGAGAACTCAAATTATGTCCAGTACCAACACTCGTAGTTAATATACGACAGAAATAACAGTACATAGATTTCTTCAGCAGTGAATAAAGGAGTTTTTTTCTTTCTATAGAGACCCCATTCGTTAATTTACGGGTGAAAATATTTTTAGTCAAGTTTCTAATTTTTGTTTTACCACTTAAATCTGGAAAACTTGTAGAGGACTTGGAGAAGTTACAATTTTTATTTTGAAAAAACTCTAGCCTAAATCGAATCCAAATATTGCGTTATTCTGTTAAAATTTCATCACAGTACGTACCAGGATCAGGATAGATGATGTATTGTAATTAATTAGAGTGCATTCTGCATTCGGAAAGAATAGAGTACCTAATGTAAGCAAATAATATCGGCCTTCTGGGGCCCTGGGCACGTGCCCCGTGTGCCCTTATGGTAAAGACGGTATTGACTTTTACAACCCTTAATGCAGCTCCGTTTTTTTCAGTATCCTTCTCTAAAGAAAATAAATCGTAACCCAACGCCCTTAATCATCTTAAATAACTAATAGAAAATATCTCTCTTGATTTTTATTAGTACTTAATAGTTTTGTCAGCGTGTTGTAATTAATTGACCTTAATAGAAATCGTTTGCATGATAGTTGTAAATAGTCCAATTGATTTGGATTCAATTTTAATTGTAAGGCTTACTTTAGAAAGTTTGTTATAATAGACAACATACTATGGAAGATTAGTTTAAAAGGACGAGTTCATATCCTGGTGTAGTTGTAATTGTAATAGGAAATTGTGGATTATAAATACATTCAAATACGTATAATTAGAAAAAAGAAACGTTGAGAGTAGTTAGGCGCTTTAATTGTTAAATCTTAATTAATATAATGGTAAAGTGCGGTTGTAATTACACAGGTAGTTATTAAAAAAAAAAAGGATTATATGAAGCACGTATTTAACTGTAAAAATTTGTAACAATTTCTTAAGGAATCGTCACTTTGTTTATCTCTCTGTCGGTGCGTTAAAACAAGTAAACTACGAAAAATTGATTGTTTAATTAGTTCCATATTTTAATTATTCTGATGGTTCCTTGTTTGTACCCGTAGCGTATAAATTTAAATAATTCGATACCTAAGAAGTTAAAATTGCCTTTTCTGTTTTCAATTAGGTACATGTTAGGTACAGACCTTAATAAGGTCAAAATTATATGTATGTAATTGCCAATTTTTGTATTATCGAACATAATAGCGTTTTATTGCAACATCTCTGTTGTAACAATAGAAAATAGCAGGTGCGTTATGCTTGTTTGAAGTAACTGTTAGGACCCCATCAAAGATTAGAGTCTATTTTAAATGTTCCCAATTTTCTAGCTGTTTTGTTACAGGCTTGGACCATACGTATATGTAATTGATATTTAATTTTCTTGTGATAAACTTCTTAAAAAAGTTGAATGAATGTCTTAAATAATAGCGATGTCGTAATGTTATTGTTGTAAATTAATTGGAATAGGTTTTTACATTTATGCGCCTATGGAACTCAATTAGTTATTAGAAAGTTTGAATACTAAACTACGACGAGACGTAATTTTGTGATATCGGCAATCAATAATAAAAACTGTTTCGAACTTTATCGGTTTTATTATGTGTATTTGTATAGACTAGTATATTGTGTGCAGTCAATATTTGACTAATGTATTTTCTTAACATAAGAAAAGAAAAATGTATTGCATAGGCCGAGTATTGAACCGTATTTTTGAGTTTGTTTCAAAAATATTAAATTAATAACACTTTCCCTACAGTTATTAACAGCTAAAATTTCATTTAATGTATGTATACAAAACTGACTCGATCCTGCCCTATCCTCTGTTTTATATCCCTAGTATTCTTTCCGTCCTGACTCTTCCTAGATACCTAAAATCAGCCACTTCTTCTAATTTTTTGTCTCTTATCTTTATATTCGCTCTTTCCTTACTTTTTCTTCCCTTGCATACCAGTATTTTCGTTTTACTTTTATTTATTTTCATACAATACTGTATTGTCAATACCGCTTCCATTTCATTTAAAGCGATCTCTAACTCCTCTTTGCTAGATGCTAATACTTCTATATCATTTGCAAATCTAATCATTCAATCTTTTGCCCCTCTATAACTATCCCTACAGTTGTCTTAATGTAAAAATTATCGATGTATAGAAAACCTTAACTAGAATTGTACAGAGAAGGATGGAAAAACTGGCGGAAGAACTATTAGGGGAAGATCAATTTGGGTTTAGAAGAAGTGGAGGAGTGCGGGAGGCCATTCTAGCTTTATAATAGAGAAAACGATAAAGAAAGGAAAGAGCGCGTAATAATTAAATTAGATACCAAACGATGGTTGCATTTTTTTGTATACGTACAAAATTGGTATAGGTATAGTAAGTCATTTTCAACCAGCACTCAAGGTTTTTCCTTTTAATTACACCTTTAAAAATGTAATATTGAAGAAGTATCAGTTGAAAAGAGAAAGTAAAAAAAATGTAGCGCTCATTTCTATTGCAATTAAAACAGACTTTTAAGGTGAACAAAGCTGTGTGAACAATTTACTTTCTTCAATTACAAACACCAGACCTTTCTTCACTCGACATTTCTTTCTATGTACCTCTGCAAAAAGATCGCACGCAAGTTTTCGATTAAGAGAACAGGGTCGAAGCAGTTAAACAATTTTCTTCTTGTTGAATTCTTCTTCACGGTTTGACTGCATTTACTAGTAAGTTTCCTCAATTAGCGTTTGAGGTAAAATACATCGAATTGTACAATTCTTGTAAGAAAATGGGAGGTTGCTATTCAATCGAAATCATCATCATATGTTCGGTAGTCCTAAGACTGATTCGACAAGCATCTCCACTCTTTCCTATCCTGAGCTAATCTTCGCATTTCCCCAAAACTAAAACATCCCACATCTTGAACTATTTGCGAACAGTAGTCTAATCCAGAGCCGGGCAAACTCGGATCTTTTGCATCCCGAGTGATCCTCAAGGTTAACCATGTAGCTCCTCATTGATCTTGCGAGTGCGAGTGAGATGATTCTTTCCTTTTCTTATCTCTTCCATTTCGTAGATGAGTCCCCTCTTCCATAGCCAAACCCAATAGTTTTGCGAACGTAGTAACGAAAATTTTCGTAGCTATTTTTTAAGTTGCGAGAGTGGCTTCGCTCGTCTACGGGATGAAGGGGCTTGATATGGGAGTGGAAGGGAGAAGAAAAAGACAAAACAAAATTATTCATTACTGCTTACCCTCTCGTACTCATTGAAGGGTATGCAGTGACTCAAACTAACCTCATGTAGCGGCTCCTGCGAAGTTAAAGTTTGCCCGGCTCTGGTCTAATCTAGGTTTACCTCTACTGCTCTTTATTCCTGTTTCTACTTCTAATACCATATGTCTCTGACTAAACCTTCATGTCTGAGAAAGTGCCCTACTAACCTATCTCGCCTATTTCTTATCTCTCTTCTCTTACTCTTTCTAATACCTCTTCATTTCTAACATTCTCTATCCACGGTATCCTCATCATTCGCTCATCATAACACCGCATTTCGAAAACTTCTAACCTTTTCTTTTCCGCCGCGCCTACTGTCCATGTTTCGCACCCGTGCAGCGCCGTGTTCCAAACATACACCTTAAACAACCTTTCTCGAATTTCTAAATTAACCGTTCGCGAGCATAGAAATGACTTCCTTTTATTGAAGGCAACTCGACCCTCGCTATCCTCTGTTCTATATCGCTGCTACTCCTTCCGTCCTGACTTATCTGACTTCCTATACTGATACCTAAAATCGAAATGAGGATCATTTTCTGTCAAAGAAAAATTGTTTCCGTAAGCGAGGGTGTAGTTTGTTTAGGTATACGGTGTTCTAATAAAATTAATATGTCGTTCACATTATATGGGGCTGTCATTATCCAATGTCTACTCTATATGCCTAAAGACAAGTTTAATCGTTGTTTTCTGCATTAATTTACCGCACGGCATGATCCAGAGGATTAAACCATTGCTTAGCATTGCTATAATTCCTAAAAGCAGACCAGCGTAGTCCCGAGGGACTGCCCGCCTTCTGGCATCCATAGGTGGAAAGAATAAAACACCCAAAAGTTCCTTAGCATTAATTCAAATGATTTTTCTTTATTTTCAGGTCAGATGCAGAATTGCAGTATAGCAAAGCCCTTGCTAAATTAAGTGCCAAGTTGTCGCGTGCCTGCCGGGACAATGTCGGAGCCATAAACGAAGCTTGGAGAGCAGTGGCGTACGAGCTCGAAGCACGAGCCGAAGCCCACAGGGTATTGGGTGGGGCCTTGGCTGAAGATGCGGCGAGGCCTCTACGAAACCTTACCGAGACCCAACACAAGAGCCGGAAGCAAGCGGAAGGGGTGGTGGATAAAGCCGCGCGTGCGTTGTCGGACTGGCGTGGAGCAGAAGCTAAGGGCAAAAAACACAGTCACGCGTGCGCGAGAGATAATGAGAAACTGCAGGATCAGTTACTAGACGTCAGGTAATTTTTATATCATATCGAAAGACAGCAAAAACAGAGAAAGGAAGTTACGAGAAATTTTTTGTTAGTCTTTTAATATACAGCTTTTCATGCGATTGTTCCTTTGACAATCCTTGCATTCCCGAATAGTAATAGTATCATCTGCCCCTTTTTACTCCTGTTTTCGCTTGTAATAATATGCACTTACTTATCTCACCATCCATGCCTTAGAAGGCATCCTACCATTCGCGAGCACAAATGTTATATAATTTTATTAAAAAGGTCACTCGACCTTGCGCTATTTTCTGTTTTCTGTCTTTACCCCCTTTTCAAAGAATATATTTCTGTTTCTCTAGATTATCCAGAACTAGCAGTCTAATACAACTGACACATATGCACAACCAAAAATCGGCTTCAGAAAAGGAGACTGCAAAGGTATTCATTGTTTTTTTTTTTGCTATGTGATTTTTATATTTTTGATTTCATTTGTAACAGTTGGAAGGAAAAAAGCGAAAGGCTGAGGATGCAGTGAAGAAGGCGGACATCGAATACTACACTTTGTGTGTAAGGGCAGAAAGGGCGAGGTACAGAACATTCAATTAAATGTTGCTTCTAGTTTAAATCTTTTTTGATTTTTTTTTAAAGACTGGAATGGGAATCGGCCGTTTTAAAGGGTTCCAACACCTTTCAGACACTAGAAGACGAACGACTCAATAATTTAAAAACCATTTTAACTGCTTATTTGCACCACAGTAGCGAACTTGGTCCCAGACTTATTGAGGTAAATATGATACAAATAATTATCCCTTATAATCTTCATCATTATCATTATAAGTCCGAAGTGTGGACGTGAACCAATCTAAGATTTTCTTCTGCTCCTCTTTACTTCTGTTTCTGCTTATAATAATGTGTCTCTAATTAACAGTTCATGACTCAGAAGGTATCTTAAAATTCTGTCTCTCCTTGTTATTGACTTCCATACTTCCATTGCTCTTTCTGTTCTCCTAATCATTTCAATATCTCCAATATTTCACTACTCTTACCTAACTATTTTTTGATCAATCTTTTTAGGCGACAGAAAGATTGAAAAGTCCTGTAAGTCAGTCGGATCCCACAAAGGATTTAGTATTGTTCGTCAATTTAAGAAATTCATCACAACAGTTGTCTGAACAGTTATTACCTGACTTTTACTGCGAACATATCACGTTGGCAATGAATAGAGAGAGGCGAAAACAGGTAAAAGACAATTTAATAGTACGAAAATTTTACTCAGTTATTATTTTATCTTTTGTGTTCTAGGCTCTTATTAAACTTTTGCATCTTATCAGGCAAGATATAGAAAGGGAAAGGAAGTCAAAGAACGGGTTGGAAAACTTGTCTAAAGCCATGAAGCAAACGCCCAATTTTGGTGCCGAAGACTCGCAACAAAACGTTTCCGAGAAGCTGTATCATGTAAGTTCACAGTTTTTAAGATTTATGTCGAACTGAATCTAAAATCTGTTACCACCAATAGATTCTACATACTTTTGTTTTACATATCTGTCATCCCTTAGAACATTCACAATAATATATCTGAAATCTGTTATCACCACTAGATTCTATGCACTTTTTTAAATACCTTTCATCATTTTTGTCTAGATGAAATCCATGTTGACCTATTTGGAGGGAGCGAGATACAAAGTACAGAGCGCCCTTTTCGAATTGGACAATCGACCAAAAGCTGGACATCCTCTAGCTCCACATATCACAATAACTAGGGACAAGTCTGGACTTCAACACAGTGTCCTCAAGGTAAGAATTTAGGTATTATTTTGAGTGATTTTCTTGTCGGATGTATGGGTTTGTGGTGATTTTTATGAGATCCAATCAATATCATTCTGAACCCTTGTTGTAGGATTCATTAGTTTTGTCTATTATCCTCTTGTTCGGATTTGATGATCATGGTCAAAGGGAGAACCACGATCGTCAAGTCCAAATATCAAACCGATATCAGAAAAAGATGACTGAAAAATTTTTAAAGTTTCTTTATATATCCTTTTCTTTAAAATTGTTGTTCCTTAAAGTTAATTGTGTGTTTTCCTTGAAGGTACCTCAGTGGCTACGCGAAGAATGGACTGAGACGGAGAGGAGCCCTGTAAGTGAAAAATCAGAAAAATCAGAGTATTACAGCGATGGTGAGTTACTTGAGCCAGAGCCGGACTGGACCGATCGAGGTGCTGCTGATGGTAACTCCAATCAGCCAGATTCGGACTTCGGTTAGCTTTTTGTGTTTTATTATGACTTCTTTTAATTTCTCACTTTCTTTTTGTTATTTTTCCGAAAACAGTTTTATGTTATATAAAAATNTTAATTACGTTTTTATTAAATCCCACTGAATTAAAACGGTTAAATTTTATAAAAATGTGTATAAAAAAGAATATGGGTTAAAATAAATTTGATTATATACAGCTATACAATTTATCGAAGATTTGAAGTAGCTACTTCTGGTTTATTGTAGATAAGTACCTATATGTGTGGCTTCAAACTATTTCCAAATAATTGGTCCAATCGGAAGCTTAAGTTCGTTATAACCAGTGGGACAATAATTTTTTACTCAAAAACATTAGTTAAAACCGATCGTTTATTGTGGCATTCATTGTTTAAATGAAAAGTAATTTCGTTCATTAAATTTCATCTGTTACAACCAAACATTCGTTATAATCCGTGTTCGTTATAACCAAGCTGGATTGTGTATGAATTCTCGTCTTCGCGTTCACAATTCCTGTGTGAAGATTTGCTTGAATTGAAGATAGAGCGTATTAATATTATTATAAAACGAAAGGAAACTTTTTGTTATTGTATTTCCTGTGTTGATAGCACTTTCGTTTGTGCCTGCTTACAACAATTAACCATGGATTTTTACTATCTACTCTAATACAGTTGCAGGTTCTTGACATTTCTTTTGTTTGTTTTGTTACCTACCTTCTTGTATTTCTGATAGTGTCGGCTTATTTTACTTCCGATTACAATAATAATAATTGCTCGAATCGCATTTTTGCTGATCAGCATAAGATAATACTGGATCAAAAAGTTGAACGTAAAAAATTCCGTTCTCACCGTCACTTTATAGTAACCGAGTTACTTTTCGAAGTGACAAAACTCGCAAGTCACGGTGATGGTACCGCTCATTACTTTCGGTTACGTCCGATTTCGTTGACTTCTTTTTGGTAATTTATAATGGTGGTTTATTTTTGACTTTTATTTGTTAATAGTCATTATTGAATCTGTTATAAACTTTGAAAAACCTTTTTACCTAATTTTGTTACCTAACACATTAAGTAAGTGTACCTACATAACTGTCAAAAACAAAGTGTAACTCCTATCGAAAGTACGATGGTTTTCCCTGATTTTAGGGACCCCGTAGGAAACAATTCCATTCTATTTCCATTAAAAAAATGCCATTCAATTACCACTGATAATAATTAATGGTAATAAATGGAGAATTACCATTAGAATTCTAGTTCCATTCCCGAACTCAATGGGATTTCCATTGCGTTCCATTGGAACTTCCATTCCTGAACCCAATGGTTCCTAGTGTCAATTCTTTCGTTTTAATCAAGATGAAATATGAGGATTTTCGACGAAAAAAATTAATTAATTATTATTCCATATTATGTCTTGTTTATTATTTTTACAACTTGCTTTGACAATAACATTAACTTCAGCATGTTTTCTCCATTTTTTAATTTAATTAGACGAATTCTCTTCGCAAACGAGCAGTACTGATGGCAATTGTGACGAAGGGGCTCCACTAAACCCGATCGCTACCTGTCGAGCCCTCTATGCATACACTCCGAATCTCCCCGACGAGCTCACCCTTCATCCCGGCGACATCCTGTCCGTCTATAGGAAACAGGACGACGGCTGGTGGTTGGGAGAATGCGACGGGAACGTCGGGATTTTCCCCGCAACATACGTCGAAAACGTCGTGGCAACCACCTGAGAGCCACATACATATGTACCAATCCCATTTCTCATAAATTCAAAACTTGAGAGTTTTAAAGAAATCAAAAGGTACATACGTTACACCCTCGGCTTCCTGTAAATATCGTGTACAATTATTTCGATGATTTTTTATTTTTAAAATGCATAAAATAAATATCATTAAGCTTTTCACATACTTACATCTATTTCAACTCGTAATCGTTTTAAATGTAATAACAAATAATTGAGTCCAAAAAAGAAAACAGTAAATTGTAACAACTAATTCTAATTTATTATTTATTTCTTACACTTTAGATTGTTATTTGGATCAATACCTTTTGTAATTCTTTTCAGATACAACTGCTGTTTTTAATTTTTTAAATTTGCTATCACTTTAATAATTCGTATATAAATTTGGTACTTTTCAAGTCAATATGCAGACCCTACCGTAAATGTTATATATTTTATTATTAGATTAAGGTCATTCTTTTTGTAATGTTATTATTGTATTGTAAAAAGATGTGAAAATACATTGTTAATTTAATAAAACAAAATACTTTGATTTTAAAAGAATCAAAATAAACCCTCTCTACCTGTAAAAGTGCCCCAGGGGTCAATTATTGGTTGATATTCAACCAGGGTCCCACTTTTTAGTAAGTAAGGGATTTTCCCGAAAACTCAGAGTGAATAATTTTCCAGTGATTGTACATGAGGAAAATATTCATGCTCTAGTCTGACCTATTAACCCAGACTATAGAAGCATTTTTTTTCAGATTTTTCGCGTCAAAATTTCCTGGAAGTGCATTCTGGCCCTGTGACTAATCGTCCTGCACTCTTAATGTCCTTTATCCTGTTCTAAATAAAGAGTAGATTCTCTTCAGTTATGTTTCTTTTTGTTACTAATCGGGAAAAGTGACATTATTACTCAAGAAAAGTTGAAGACTATTATACAAACAATTTTCCGTCTCATATGCAAAGGGCAGTTACCCTAACAGTTCATTAAATTAAGGGTTTCTGTTTTTTTCAACAGTTATTCGGTTTTGGTGTAAAATGTGCTCTAAGGGTCCACATAATATTTTTCTAATGAGTGTTTAAAGTTACTCTACGCAGTGTTTTTACCTAGTGATATGTGAAATGGGACATTAGGACCTCAGCAATAATTTAGTTGGAAAAGGATAATGTAATTGATATCCTGTACCTTAACGAGCTTGTGTGCAACTTCATAAGCAGTAATGTTCCGATGTTTGCCTATACGTGAACCCAAAGCTTGGAAAATTTCTGTTCGACGAGGAGCAGTGGCGGAGTCCAGTGATGATTTTACAACATGGGTGAGTAAATTTAAAGAAAATTTATACAAAATGTAAAGGTTTATTGACTACCATGAGGATCGAATGCGTACCGGAAAGCTTTTTATTATATATTTCATACAGTTTCCACTGAAAGTTATTCAAGAAAAAAAGCGAAAACAATATTTGAACTTATGACTTTAAAAATTCCATTACATTAGCTGATTAATGATTATATTTTTCTAAATCACGCATGAGAGCTTAATTAGCAATACATTGGAAAAAAAAATTAAAACAATTAAAAAGGGACAAAAATTTGAAGAAAACTGAAGAGCTATTAACTAAAATTTAATTTTATTGGGCTTGGTCATCGCAACTTAAGTATTAATATTATATGAAATACATAAAAATACTACTGTTTTATAATCACAGCGGATATTGCAGTAATTACTGTTAAGAAAGACTTTTATATTCATTTACTTGGTTTTGAAAATATTTTTTTGTTTTGATTGAAATGCTTTAATACGCAACGATTTACAAACAATACAAATGCATAATTTCCAGGGGTGAAATTTTTTTTGGTCCAGATTTTATTGTAAATAAGACGCTGTCTATGTATTTAAATTTAAGTTTTATTTCTTGTTTGTCGAATAAATGTTATCTGACTGAAATTAACTCCTTGCCTAATGCCCTTGTGTATCGGTCTGATCAAGCAAATATGCGATAGTGTATATTTGTGTCTATGTGTTGCTCGAGCAAACGAAGCAAACACAACACTTTTTTATAGCTAAATGATTCACCTTTAAACTGATGGTATAATTTTTACAAGCTTTTACAAATTAACCGATGAAATTTGAACATAAGACATCTTATTCAATTAATTCTATGCTATAGAGATAAATTTGTAAAACCTGTTGATATAATAGTAAGGGCAATCTGATTAAATTTTTATGTCTCACATCGGTTTTGTAATATTTTACATGTTTTAAGAAATTTTAGCAGCTACATCTTTATAAATATTAAAGTAATTACTGCAGATGTGCAAAATGGCTTTTTAAAAGGATTTGAATGCACAATGCAAATACTTTTTTGATTTGTCATTTCAAATGTAAAATACAAAATAGATTTCCTTTTTG